AGGACTCTAGGTAGGAGTCACTTATTAGAATTTTTTTATTATTAATTTTTTTTTGACAAAAAGAAAAAACTAAAAATAAAAAGAAGGGTGGGTATTGGAAGATATAATTATTAAAAATAAAATAAAATAAAATATTACTCTATGGTCAAAGGGAAAGTAGGCAATTTCCTCCGTCATTTGCGCCGGGAGGAGTCCAAAGTCCAAAGTTTGGACTCTATACCACTAGCTATTGTCCTTGTTTGGTTTGGCCTTTTCTTTTTGGAAGGCCCACCAAAATTGTTGACATATAAAGGCAAAGCACTGATGTCCTAAAGAGTTGGTTAATTTGATTGTATTGTGTCCTTAGCTTTTCAAAACATGGTTTTGATTTGATAGTTCCTTCCCCCAACAATTTCAATTTGGCACTATTCCAATTTAAAAATATTGGAATTATTAAATTAAATAAAATAAAAAAAACCTAGTCACATGGTGTCCAAGATGTAAATTACATTGGTGTGTAGGTATGGTAATGTCCAAGATATATTGTATTGTATATTCGTATTTCCAAAATTCAAAAGGCTCTTTATAGATATGTTATATTCCTAGTACATTCTTTTTGAAGTTTTATTTGTACTTGTAAACTCCCCTCTTCTTTTTATACTCCTACTCCTACTTATCTAGGGAATAAATATATTTACAAAAAAAAAGGAATAAATTGCACTGACATCCTTGGGATTCGCCACTATCAATAACTTTTGTTACATTAACACTCCCTATCATTTGAAATGTTACTAATGCCCTTGAATTTTTAATTTGATTTTATTCTTAAAATATCAGCCTTATGAAATGACCAAACTAGCTATCCCTATGCTAAGAAATTGCCAACAACTTTAACCTTAAAATAAACCAACCCTAATTGCAAACATAATTTAGCACATGAATGTATATATATGTATATATATATATATATATATATATGAAGGAATAGAGGAAAGAACAGAGGTGGTGTTGTGGGTGGTGGTGGTGATGGTCGCAGCATTATGGGGGATGTGGAGAGGTTAGTTTGGTCTATTTACACTGTTTGTACCAATGTTGACAAGTCAAAGGGTTAAAAGGTAATTTCATATGATTTTAAAGGTCTGAAGAGGATGTCAATGCATATTTTTTTAATCTCAAGAGGTATCAATGTGAAAAAAATATTTATCTATTTTAGGACAGAGGAAATATTAAATTGCCTTCACCTCTTTGATACCTCTTAATCAAAGAGAAACCCAGCCTGGTTTTTTAAGAGGAGAGTTAAGGATGCAATGTTTGGGAATGGTCCCTCCCTCATTTTATTTTTCTTGTTGGACCAACAATATTCTCCATGAGCAATAATTAGCTCCATGCGTGACTGAGATCATTGATTAAAAGAGTAGCATTAATTTCAGCTAATTTTATGCAGCCATTATATAAAAAGCCACAATCATTGTCGCAAATTGAGTCAACCAAGTCTTGCTTTGGTTGTTCCCAATCATAGCGTGCCTAGCAGCCTAAGAGAGTTCCAAACATTGGCTAGCATGGGAGGTAAAAATTTACTGTATTTTACTGGTACGGCAGAACATATCATAGTGCGATGAGCGCGGTCATTCGTACTACAGTTGTTGCATAATACCCCATTCGTCTCAAAATAAGTATCATACTTTTCATTTTTATCATTTTTGACCATTGAGAAATCATATTTTGCATTTGGGTAATTTTGAGGCCCGAACCTCTTTGGATTTCAATTGTTCAGCAAAAACTCCAATTCCAATAGCCTTTTTCACTGTAGAGGCTCATTTCGGTAAACCGGTTCTCTACTTCGGTCGACCGAAGCACCATCTTTTATCTCGAGCCAACAGTTTTCAGTTTTTTGCCTTTTTAGTGATGGTTTTGGCTACGGGTTTCAGAATTTGGTGTTTCCAGATGCTATTAGGAGCTATGCAAGTGAAAGGTGCGTGACATCAAGACAAGCATTAAACGTGACATAATTATGAAAAGTATGACACTTATTATGATCCAACCTTTTATCTGATCGATCGAACATTTTGATCTTATCCTCAACAACCAACGAAAATGGTTAATTTTGGGTTACTAGCCCGTGAGTTTATTTTTGTCTATCCCAAAATAAGTGTCCACTTTCTTTTTTCAAACAATATATTTCACATCATTCTAAAAATGTCCTTTAAGTTTAAATTTAAAACTTTAATATTCAAAACTTAAAAGAGCAACTTAATAATTTTCCAGGCAAATAATACATGATCCCACATGTCCCCTGAAAAATTATCAATCCCCATAAGTGACACTTATATTAGGACGGAAGGAGTATAATATTAGGTCATTTTTCATCTTCTGAATCAATTTAATATGGAGTTCATATATTGTATTGTTATATACAAAGAAATACAACATGAAATAAGCTTTTCTATCTTACCTGTAATTGGACAAGTAAAACAAGGAGAGTATTTAACATGAGAGTTAGGGTAAGTATTTTGTGGCGTGAGGGTGTTGTCATAGTGGTAAAGAATTAGACCTTAAATACTTTCATCTTATATATAAATAGGGTAAATTATACTGACCTTCCTTCCCTAAGATTTGACGCATGTGCTCAATGACATCCCTTATCGTTAATAGAAATTCAAAAAATGACCAAGTTGTTCTTTCATTGTATTAAGAGATCTCAATAACCTTATAGTGTGACATGAAATGACAAAAATACTATAAAATGGCATTGAAATGCAAAGTATCAATTTTCATACCAATTTCATATTATTCTATTTTACAATTTTTTTTTTCTTCTGTTAATGACATTTGATTAGGTTTCTTTTTTATGGTTTAATTAGGTTTCGTTTTTATTTCACACGGGGGGTAAGAGAACGAAAGACATTTCTCAATTTAGGAGAGGTAAAAATAGTAAAAGTGAAACGTTCTCATGTAATTTATTCTTTAAAGTAAGGGATAAATCCTTTGGCCAAACAGCCTTCGAGTAATACAAATGTAAATAGTTGAAGGAAAAAATTACATAATTCGTGATGACATGGTTGGGTTTAGTTTGGCCAATCATAAAATAACAATAATAAAAGTTCAATCTTTCACTTTAAAAATGTCAATCATTTTTCTATATATATATATATATAACTTTCATCTAATGTTAGTGAATTATTTAGCAAGTTGCATGCAATGGATCATAACAAAGAACAATGAATTCTTTTTCTTTTCTTTTTTTTTTTTTTTGTAAAACCATGGTGGGAGTATTTTATAATTTATCACTGGATGCATACAGTTTCTCAACTCAAATGCACCAGGCAATTATCAAAAAATATTTCGAAAGTGACTCCAAAAAAATTCCAAAGATTCAAAAAAGGGAGTCATCAAAATTTTACATTGAATATTATTCAATAACTAAAAAAAAATCACTGCAATAATTTAGCCACCACCAATCTAACATTATAAGCAATAAGAAAATCACATTCAATACGACAATTTGTCAAAAAAAAAGTTAAAAGGGATAAAAAAAAACAAAAATAAAACAAATAAATAGCACAGTTGTATACAAATTAATAACAATAGTGCTTATATATTTATACTATTATTAAAAGTAAAAAAATTTCAGACTTCCATTACATTAATTGTGTTTCAGTACATTATTTTATAATTAAAAACTTATTAATTTAATTCAATAAAAAAAAATTTAATTAGAGAATGAAATACTAATAGTAATAATATAGTAGTAAGAAATACTGAAATTCAATAAATTAAAATCTTATTAGAGAAGGAAATATATAATATTCAAAATCTTATTTAGTAATATAGTAGTAGGAAATATTATTATTATTAATAGAGTAGTAGGAAATCTAATTAGAGAAGAAAATATATAATATTTAAAAACTAAATTACTGAAATTCAATAAAAAAAATCTAATTAGAAACGGAAATATATAATATCACAGTGTATTGGATGTGTGTTTTACTAGTATGTGTGTGTGACACACACGCACACATACACAAACTACAATATTGCACAAATACAAATTAACTTGGCAGAACGAATCTTTCTGAAGTACTTAACTAAAATTATTTGGTAAGAAAAAGCTGAAAAAGTTAAAAAGTTGTGCGAGAGTGAAAAAACAAAAAGAAGAAGAAGCTACAATAGTTTTTTTTTTTTTTTTTTTTGGATGGTATGTTCTAATCGCTTAATTTAAATCATGTATTATTGTGTGGTTTGGCTGCATGTATTTATTTATATTGAGGAGCCAAAATTTAGGGGAGTAAGATAAAAGGAAAAACGAAAATAAAATGACAAAACTTAAAAAGAAAGAAAAAAAAAGAGAGTTTAATTTAACAAGAAAATTTACCTATTATACCATGACTGTAAGATTTTAATGGTCATTAATTTAGGGCTATCTAAAGAAAAGAGAAACTATTGCATAATTGCGGTAAAATTGACACGTAAGTAAAAATGGATAAAGTGAAAAAAAATTTACACAGTTACTTACTTGTCAATCAACCATGCAATTATTACTCAGAAAAGCAATATTTAATTATTTCCTTTATTTATTTTTAATAATAAAAGTGGAGTTACTAAGGATTCCTTTGGAGGGTGAATGGCTCATTTTACAATAACTGTGCACTTTTTCCTGTTCAGGCGCGTCCGAATATGCGTCCGTTACATTTTCCTTATAATTATTGCTGGCTTCACCAGATAATGTTTGTCCACTAACTCGTCCATTACATAAGTCGTGAATCTCACTCCCTAGCCAATTAATCTCCTCGTTAAAAAGACGCAAAAGGACAAAAAAAATTGCGCGCAGAATGTAACCGCCTAATGGTCTACAGCCCACAGGTGCAGGGTCATTTGTCTCATACATGTGTATCACGAATATATACATATATATAGATATATATATACGTATTTATACTGGTATTTATACAAATATTTAGAAGTGCCAAAAAAAAAAATACTCTGTATATATATATATATATATATAGAGGACGAAAACAATTAAATGTTTTTGCTTCTTCAAAACGGCATGCTTGTCTGCCCTTTCACTTGCTTTTTTCAGTGAGTAGTAGTGGTGAGTGGCTGCATTTGTTCTTACTCTCTCTCTTTTGTTCTCTCTCTAGAACGCAGAGAATACACTTGTTTCTGATCTTTCTGGGTTTTGTTTGAGGGGTAGTGTCGTGATTATGGAGAGAAAGCAGGGGTTCTTTTCGGCGCTGAAGGAGGAGGTTGTCAGAGGTTTATCGCCGGGGAGGTCCAGGGGGAGGAATCCGAACTCGGTGAGGAGTAAGTCACCGGGTTCGGGTTTGCTGCGTAGGAGGAAGGGGAACCAGAGCCACGTGGCGCAGCCGGAGGCGTTGATTTCGAGATCGGGGAGTTTGAGGCCGGTGGAGGCTTTGTCGCCGTTGAGGGAAGGGCCCGATCAGGAGGGATTCGACGGTGGTGATTCGAGGTCGGAGAGGTGGGGCCACTGGATGAAGGGTCAGCTTTGCAGGGCACCCTCTGTGTCGACGTCCTCGTCGGCTGCGGCGTGCCAGAGGTCTGATCTGAGGTTGCTGCTCGGCGTTTTGGGTGCACCATTGGCTCCGGTGCACGTTAGTGACACCGACCCTTTGCCTCACCTTAGCATCAAAGACACTCCCATTGTTAGTTTCTCTCTATATATCTATATATAGATAGATAGATACACATTTAATTGCAAGCCTAGAGTTGATGGTTACTTTGTTAATTCTTGCTAGTAATTTTACGTGCCAGTCTGTGATTTATCAATCAAGGAATTTAATGGGTAGTTTACTAATTGTTTGGTGGATTTTGGGGCTCAAAGCTTGATGATTTTGACTTATGGTAATCTGAAGAATGTAGATTGAACTATGTGGATTATGATTTACTATTTGCTTATATTGAGTGTTAATTTTTGCTACCAATCCTTGCATGCCTGTTTGAGTTTCGAGGTCTGGTAGAGAAACGAACTTGTCGATGTGTGTTAAATTTTTTAAAATTTAGTGGGTCGCTTAGGAACAGGTTTTTATGTGTGTTTCATAGTTTAATGGTTTGGCTGAATAAAAGGGTAGGTGCTATTTTCTTCTTATTCTTCTTGGTTCGGTGTCTTATTTTATTATTATTATTATTATTATTATTATTATTTTAAGCTTTAACTTGAATTAATAGTTTTGTGAAAATTATAATCTTCGTGTATGGATCTCGTCTGTTGTCTTGCATTTCTAGGATTATTAGACGAATTTTTGGCTCTGTGATTCATGTGTGGAAGTATGTAATTGTGTTGTGTTAAACTCAGAATGTTCTGTGCAATTCATGGTTGTTCACTATTCACAAGAAGTTTGTTTTTTTTTTTTTTTTTTCTAAAAAAAAAAAAAATCATATTATTGTATATGCAGGAGTGAAAATGAGGGCTATCAGGATGAAATAAATGAATGTATTTTTGTGGGTGGACAATCACAAGCTTCATTCTTCATGTATGAATCAAGAATAGTACAAGGTGTTGATCTATATGAATTGTAGTTATTGTATATGCAGGAGTGAAAATGAGGGCTATCGGGATTGAAATTAATGAGTGCGTTTTTGTGGGTGGACAATCACTAGCTTCATTCTTCATTTATGCATCAAGAATCATAAATAATTGGAAAGAAAGTAAGATAGTACAAGGTGTTGATCCATATGAATTGTATTTATTGCATAGCAGGAGTGAAAATGACGGCTATCGGGATAGAAATTAATGAGTGAGTTTTTGTGGGTGAACAATCACTAGCTTCATTCTTCATTTATGAATTACGAATCGTAAATAATTGAAAAGAAAGTAAGATAGTACAAGGTGTTGATCTATATGGATTGTAGCATATTAATGAGTGCATTTCAGTGGGCGGATCAGTCAAAAAATATTTCTTATGGATGGATAGATAGATAGATAGCACAACATGTTGATTTATATAGATTCTTGGAAATTTGATTTACTGAAACTTACTAAAAGTGAGTTCATGGTTCTGGGGGGTATAATTGCAGGAAACTTCATCTGCTCAGTACATATTGCAGCAGTATGCAGCAGCATCAGGAGGACAAAAGCTTCAAAACTCTCTTCAGAATGCTTATGCGATGGGAAAAGTAAGGATGTTAACTTCGGATATTGAGACGGCTACAAAGGTCATAAAGACCAGGAATTCCTCGAAAGCAGCAGAGTCGGGTGGCTTTGTGCTCTGGCAGATGAATCCTGACATGTGGTATGTAGAGCTTGCACTTGGTGGCAGCAAGGTTCACGCTGGTTGCAACGGGAAGCTTGTCTGGAGGCATACACCCTGGCTTGGCGCACATGCTGCAAAAGGACCTGTTAGACCCTTGCGTCGTGCCCTTCAGGTGAAACAGTTAGCCTGCTCTCTGCAATGCATTGTTCTTTGTGGATTTGATTTGCTTGTTCCTAGGTGATATTTTGACGATCCATCCTCTGTTCTGTTTGCAGGGGCTTGACCCAAGGACAACTGCAAGCATGTTCACCAACGCAAGATGCACTGGGGAGAAGAAGATTAATGGAGAGGATTGTTTCATCCTCAAGATTTGTGCTGATCCACGTACATTAAAAGCCAGGAGTGAAGGGCCAGCAGAGATCATAAGGCACATTTTGTTTGGCTACTTCAGCCAGAAAACTGGGCTTCTTGTGCACTTGGAAGACTCCCATTTGACCCGCATTCAAAGTAATGGAGGTGGTGATGCTGTGTATTGGGAAACCACTATCAATTCATTCCTCGATGATTATAGGCCTGTTGAGGGGATCATGATTGCTCACTCCGGGCGGTCAGTGGTAACCCTTTTCAGGTTTGGAGAAACAGCGATGAGCCACACCAAGACCAGGATGGAGGAAGCATGGACAATTGAGGAAGTGGCATTCAATGTCCCAGGCCTATCAGCAGACTGTTTTATTCCTCCTGCCGAATTAAGATTGGGTTCTATAAGCGAAACTTGCGAGCTCACTCAGGGAGAAAGGGTAAAGACTGCTGTGGCTGCTGCAGCGGCAGCAGCTTATCGAGCCAAAGTTGCTTCGCTAGGGAAATCACATGATGGTAACGTCAACAATATCGTTTTGAAGATGGATGTATAAGAAAAGGAAAGAGTTTTCTGGTAAATCTTTCATCCTGGTAGGCTACATTCTTGGTGCAAATGGACTGACAATTAAAGGTAAACTGGTAAAAGATAGGAACTCAGTTGATTGAGGAATTTTGAAGTTGGGACCAAGTCTCTTTTGAATCTGTAAATAGACCGGAATCATTCACAAGTTGTCTGGGGAGCCTGCGGTCAACCTTTATACTCTACAAAGATCCATTAGAGGAGTCAGGGCATGGGTGTTCTCAAAAGGATATGGAGCTAATGGAGGTTTGTCTATTGACCTTTCCATTTTTGGATATGCTGTAAATTTAACATATGAGATTCACTTCTGTGAACTCTTGTGAAACTGAAGGTTGTCTCAACTGTGCTGATACTTGAGGATCAAATCTTTTATGATTTTATAAAATCTCATCTTTTTACATTGAATCTCAATTTGTGAAACTTGTTTAGTGCCCATAAAACGAAATAAAAAAGTAGTGAAGTAAGAATCAAAACATGGAAATGTATGAAGCAAGGAACCCTTGATAAGAGGGTGAAATTTTTGGAATTTTGTTGCTGTTGCTGTTGTTAATGAAGCACGCATTTGCCCGCAAACCACGTGCATCATTTTAGTCCAGGCCTCACGTTCTGGTGAGTCTCGATCTGAAAACCTTAGGGAAGTACCCCAAGGCCTTACCAGTTGAGCTAACCTTTGCGGGCTTTGTTCACTTGATGGTGGGTGCAACACCCAATTTGTGGTTGAGGATGAAAAAAGCCTTCACCATCATCCTCCATTCCTTCTGGTTATGGACCATGGCAATAATTGCTGCCCATAAAGATGAAAGCAGCATTTTTGCTGTTGGTCACACGGATATTGAATGCATATAAATATGATTTCCCTTCATTTATTTTGTATCATATATGGGTGGATGTGTAATTATGCTTAGGGGCTCACTGTCCCTTGCAAGCTTCAATTCGTTTCTTATTCTATTTCCTCACTAATCATATTGCTTATGCTTTCTGCTTCATACTCACTTCACTTCAAATATATCTTATATGTGTGTGTCTTTAGTTATTGTTGCTCTCTCTTTGCTTCACTGTATTAATTATTAATATAGAAAGTTTTGTATGTATGTGTATGTATGTAGGTATATATATATATATATGAAAGGTTAAGCAAACTCACACACCCATCCATGCCCCCACTGACATTCGAACCCCCCGATCCCTCCTTCGGAAGGTGGGTTTGTACCAACTGGGTTATAGTACATTTTGATAGGGTTTGTACCAACTGGGTTATGGTACATTTTGATCTTTCAAATGTTGGTGTTTGGGTTGATTATGACTACACCAGGTATACCGTGGTGCACAAAAGCGTCACGTCACTTACTTATAAAAGAATGGTCGCTTTGTAATTTGAATGTCACCGCTTTAATTGGTGAATGTGGTGATTAATTTCAACTATTCTTTCTACAACATCTCATACGTACAACTTCTGAAGTCAAATGAGATGCAATTGATACTCTAAAGTTTCGGTTGAATTGATGGAATTGGAAGGAAAACAAAAGAAAATGAAGGATAAGTATTTATATGTTTGGTTTAAAATTGAGGAAGGAAAATTAGGAAGGATTGCTTAACCCCTCAAATTATACTTTCATTATAATCTCTTTAATGAAATTTTCAAAATACTTAAATTAACCTTTAAATTGTAAAGAAGAAAAAGAGTATATCCTTTTGCAATGCTAAAGTTTATGATACTAAAATTAATAAGATGGTTTTCTTTCTTTTTCTGTATTTACCTTTTCTTTCTTTTTCTGTATTTACCTTTTCTAAACAATAAGAAGAGTTATTGTTATGTTTCTTATCCAAACACAAACAAACGGCAAACAAAGGCTTCTATCAATTCTTTTCTTTTCTATTCTTTTCCATTATACTTATCCAAACGAAGTCTTAGGCTCAGTTTGGTACAATGGAAATGGGATGAAAAGAAAAGAAAGGAAATGGAAGAAAAAAAAAAGTTGTGTTTGGTATAAAATGTTGGATGGAAAGGGAAGGGAATGGAGGGGTTTGGAAAGAAAGACTAAAGCATAAACACTAACTTTTATTATCCTCCCAAAAATGAGAGGAAAGAGAAGAAAAGCTAGTATTTTTAATGAAATTTTGTTAATACTAAATTTGCTCTTATATCTATAAGAGAAAAATTCTATGAAAAAAGGATATGATTTTAAATTCATAACATTAGTTTCTTTCCCTTTCTTTCCCCAAACATGATTAGTATCATTTTCTTTCTTTTCATTTATTAACCAACCAAACACAACAAGTAACTAACACTATCATTTCCTTTCTTTTCTTTTCTCTCCTAACTAATGTTATCTTTTCTTTTTTTTTCCCGATATACCAAACATACCCTTAATTATTCATAGAATTTGGTCGGATTGGTTTCGGGCGGTATGCCATGGTGTCAATCCAAGTCTTCTGCAATGTGACCACAGCCTTCGGCCCACAATTTTTGAAAATCTATGTTCGACTCTCAGCCCACTATCTTTGCAGGCTGGGCTTGGCTTAGTGAGCAATTATTATACCTAAAATTCTATTATTCCTTTTAGTGATGTTTAAATTATTTATTTTTAACCCGGCAACATGGTCAGCCCCAATCCAGACTGGTCCCAACCCAATCTGAATCCAAAATTGGGTTGGGTTGGGCCAGCCCAAAGTTTATTAAAAATTGAGTTATGTCCATAATCCGAACCCAGACAAATATGCAAATTATATTTTCCTTTGGGCATCTATAAGCAAAATTTTATTGTTTTTCTAAAATTATGCAAAGATGACTTTATTCTACTTCCGACGACCTTTGTTTTGAAATCAAGCTCCTCCACTCTACCTCCATCCTTCAAGGTGTGTTTTAACTTCAAAAATCATAATTTTTTTGGTCTTTTTAATATTTTTGTTATTATATATATATATATATATATATATATATATATATATAGAATTAAGTTTGATAATTAGATAAACCTCTTTAATATGGTTGATATTAACGAGAAGAAGTGATAATTATATATAGTGACATGTTTGAAGGACGTGTGAAAGTCAGTCATGTCCCTTTCTTTGAATCTGGAAAAAATGCAAATTAAGTTCTGAAAAAAAAACCAGATAAGTTTTTCTCTCTCTAATTTATTCTCTGTTTTTAAATCTTTTACTTAGACTCAACCATGGTATAATTTAATGCTCTGTTACTGTAATTTTATCCATTTTATTCCTTTTTAGTTTTTAGGCTATTGTTAATTTGGAACTTCTTAGACTTAGATTTTGTTAAAGTGTTAATTTTGTTAAATGCTATAGTAATTTTTTTTTTTTTACATCTCCTGAAAGCCCACAATTAAATGTCTGTATTGGAGATGATGAAAATACGATTTTCAGAATGATATTGAGTTGAAAATGTGGTTAAAATTTTATTAATACAGTCCATCCACCAAAAATTTTAAATTTTCATTTTTGATAGCTTCTTTTTTCCGGTAAAGTGGTAGCTTTTGAAATAAATTATTGGGTTTTCAGGGGATGTAAAATGATTTTCCAGAGATAATATTTTGCTTATTTGTAAAATAAAAATAAAAAAATAAAAAAATATAATAAATTGGAAGAATTTTAGAAAAATAAAAAAGGACGTGGGCGTCTATTGATTTGGGCTCAGATTGTTTAATTTGGGATTTTTGACACTACAACAATTATAGTCTTTAATAACAATTTTATTTGCTGTTAGAAGTAAAAAAAAAAAAAATGTTGCTATAGCTACTTGGCAGCATTTATAGGTAGCATTTGTATTTGTTGTCATAACCTGTGTCGCGATAGGGACAGCAATTGTATCTGCTGCCATATATGAAAAATATATTACAGCAAATATAAACGCCGCCAAAAATGACACTCTTTTTTTAAAAAAATGATATAACAATATATTAAAATTCAAATTCTTATAATCAAGGTCAATCCATTCATAAACCAAAATTTTGATCAAATAAACTCAATTCACAACAAAGTCAAGAAAAAAGAAAAGAAAAGAAGCAATTACAATGCATTTATTAGTGTAGCTATGTCTCAATAACAAGGGAAATAAAAGATTTTTAATGTCTCATCAAATCGTTTAAAAAAAAAAAAAAAAAGATAAAAAAAGGGAGAGACTATGTATATCCTCCAAGTATCATCCTTCTCTACGAGCAACCTGAAATTAAACATATAACGTATTAGAAACCAATAACTAGTATTCGAATTAATACAAACAACAATTATGCATCAAATAAGTCCCAAATAGAAGAAGGAAACAATCAGATCACAAAAATAACAGAATGAGCCAAGAGGTGTCATCATCAACATCAAGCAAGTCCAACCTAAGATTCTGTTGTGGCCTGCTCTTTATTATCTGTATGAATACCTTTTCATTATTTCGACACACTATAACTATATTTTCTATTGCAGAAAGTGAATAAAGGCTTACATGCAGTTTATCTACACATCATGTTAACAAAAAAATAATGCAAAAATTGCATGCAGTTTATCTCACTTCTCACCTGAAGACAGCAGTAGTAGAAGATTATCCCATGCCATCCCCAATGAGAAACCAAATCAACCAATGCCAGACACGTCAAATGCACAAAAAAGGAAGCCCTGCAGCCAATGAAGAAATATATGATGAGAAGATTAAAATTTGTATGCATTAGACACGACATCCATAAAAAAATATTTTTTCAATGGACGTGTCTTTAAACAGAGTTGCAAATTGATGAGGAGAAGCTCAATATCAACTCTGTTATATGCAAATTGAGTTTCATCTTTGTTTATGTACCAAGTCATCATTCTCTATATATAACCTAGAAATAAAACATTTAACGTATTAGAAACCAACAATTATTATTTTCTAGTTTCATATTGTTAGGTGCTGAATGTTATACATTTTAGCCCCTCTATTCGTATGTTTTATTCTCTTAATAATAGTTTATTTGTGATTTTACATTGTTTTATTGTTTTTATTTATTTCAGGGCTTTAATTGTAAAATCAGTCAACACCAGTAATTATGAGCTTTACAAGATGACTTTTAGCAATTTTGAAAATCCAAATCTAATTATACTTAGAAAATAGTCCAAAAGAAGCTACAAGTTGATGAGAATGGAAAGAAGAAGAAAAGGAAAAATCATTCTCCAAAATAGGATTTGTCGCCAAAGTTGGTAACTTTAACCCATTTTGATAATCTGGCTGTATCTCTCTCCTCGAGTGTCAAAACAGCTAAATTCTTGCGAAAGTTGATAGGAAATTCGAAGAGCTACAATTTTGTGTTTCACGAGCTTTCCCTAAAACAGCTGTTTACCTTGTCAAAATTGGCCTAGAAGTCTGCACGAATTTTGGGAGTCTTTATTCGACAGAATTTCTATGTATGTCTCCTATATGAAAAAAGGGAACTTTAGGGATGATCTTTTATTATTTAAAAGGGATCCTCTACAACATTGAAGGATCATACAAAGGAGCTTGAGGCTGAGATCAGAGAGGAGCAGTCAGAAGAAAGAAGAGATCGATCCATGGCGGTGAAGATGTCTTCCTCAACCATGAAGAATTTCACTCCAATCATGCTTGGCTAAACGCTTTGTTAGGGTTGTGATGTAGCCCTAGCTTAGCACACTGGTTTGATTGTATTTAATTATTGGAGAACAATTTTTATTATGCATGATTGTGTAATCTATAGGGTTTTTAGTTAAATTTTCAGTAAGAATCGGTTTTAAAGTTTTAATTCAATTACAAATATTTTTCTATCATGTCTTAGATATTTTAATCTTGTGATTGAATACAACTAATTCACTTCTTGTAGTTGTGAATGAGATAATTACACAATGGTATTTATCTGAATATAATGTTAGAGATTTGATGGATTATGCCTAGAAAAGATAGACCATGCTACACCCTAGAGTAAAGTAGATAGGTAGATGATTTATACCAATCGAAGATAGTCCATGCTTAACTTAAAATTATATTATTTTCTAACTGAATTAATATGTGCTTGTAGCCATAATTAATTCCCTGTGCATGTTATATGATATATCTCCAATAAATTGATGCAATTGACTGGTGGTGCAACGTTAGTGGTGAAATCATACCCCTAGTCCTCTCTCTCTATTTTCTACATCATATTTAATCATTGTTCTTTAGTTTATTTTATTTTCTATTTAGTTAATTTAGAATTAATCATCACAATTCAATTATCCTACTTTCAAGTTAATTTTAGAATTTAAGAAATCTATTGACAAACTTAATTTACATAAGTCCCTTGGGTACAACACCCTTACAAGTAAATCATATTTGCAAAGATTCGTGCACTTACGAGTGGTACATATAAATCTCACAACAAATTTTTGGCGCCGTTGCCGAGGACTTGTTTTAATTCTTGACAGATAATATTAAATTCTACAATTAATTTCAATTAGGATCTTAGTTTAGGATTTTAATTTAATTTAATTTAATTTCTTTCTTTATTTTGATATTGTTTTCTTTTAATTATTGTAGGTGACATTATATGCTTGGTAGACGTTCTTTGTCACTCCCTCAGCTTCCGTTAGACCCAAAAATTGAAAGAACTCTCAGAAACTTGAAGAAATAAAAGATGGCGGATGATTTACCAATTGCAGAAGCAGTTTGCTGTTGAAAGGATCATTACGAACCAGGTGCATACAACTCTTCATCTGCAGTTCGATATCCTCAAGTGAGGGCCCCTCACTACGAAATTAAGGCCAGTACTCTTCAGTTACTGCCTTCTTTTTACAGCCTATCAAAAGATGATCCATACCGGCACTTGGATGACTTTGCAGAGGTGTGCAGAACAATAAAAATCCAGAGTTTTGACGATGATGTGCTCAAGCTACACCTTTTCTCCTTTTCATTGAAGGACAAGGCCAAGGACTGGTTTAATTCATTGACAGCCGACACCATCACTACATGGGCTGAATTGCAACAAAAGTTTTTAAATAAGTACTTTCCCATGGTGAGAACTACTCAATATCGAGATACTATTACTCGTTTTGCTCAAGGGCCTGACCAGCCTTTTCATAAGGCTTGGGAAAGATTCAGAGACCTCCTTCAGAAGTGTCCTCATCATGACATACCAAAATGGCAGCTTGTCAATTTCTTTCATAAGGGGCTCAATGAGGCACAAAGATATATGGTGGATGCCTCTTGTGGTGGAAATTTTATGTTGAAAAGTGTAGAGGAAGCATGGTAGCTTTTTGAAAATATATCTGATAATTCTACACAACATGTCTTACCTCCAGTAGCAAGACCTCACACCATATTGAGGAGAGCAGAAAGTGTGAATGAAACAGGAATAAATCAAGGGCTAGTGAGCCAAATTGAGGCATTAACCAAGAAGGTTGATCAATTGATGATTTACAGTCAAATTGTACCCCTCCTGCAACTAATGTTCAAGGCTTTGAAGTGTGTTCTTTCTGTTCCAGTCCAACTCACCATGTGTCCATTTGTCTAAGTGTATCTCAATATTCAGAAATTCCACAAGAGCAAGTTAATGCTACATATGGAAGGCCCGAAGGGAATAATATGTATTCAAACATTTACAATCCAACTTGGAGAAACCATCCTAACTTCTCATGGAGAAATCCAGCCACAGGGACATCAGCTCATCCACCTCAAGTACCTCAAGTGCAAGGCAATTTTCAATCTCCAGTTTAGACTTCAAATCCTCAAGGATTCACTCCTATGAATGCCTTCAGTCAACCTCAACAATTCTTATCAATGCTCGAGGCAATGATGGCAAAGCAGTTAAAACCAACTAATCAACTTGTGCAGTCTCATTCTCAATCCCTTGCCAAGTTAGAGACTCAAGTTGGCCAACTAGCTCAAGCCTTGAACAGAAGAGAGGATGGCAAGCTTCCTAGTCAACCAGTAGCTAATCCAAGAGGTGTGCGTATAATTGATGACATTACTAGCCAAGAAGTTCACCATGAACAAGTGCAAGCAATTACTATTCTGAGAAGTGGTAAGAGAGTTGAAAACAAGGTGGAAGAAGAGGAAGCAAAGAAGGATGAAAAATGGAAGAAAAGACTTGAAGAGAAAAAAGAGCGTAATGAAAAAGCATAAGAAGTACCTCTAACTATTGAGCCATCTCTTGAACAAAGGCATGTCGTTGTGCCATTCCCTTAGAGACTACAAGAAACATCAAAGGCGGCAAAGTAAGCAAGCAAACTTCAAGACATAATGGAGATGTTCAAACATGTGAAGATTAATCTCCTATTGCTTGATGCAATTCAACAAATTCCAGCTTACGCTAAATTTCTGAAAGATATGTGTACTCAGAAGAGGCGTTCAAATAGCCATGTTCCTAAGAAGGTGCTATTAACTGAGCAAGTCAGTTCCATAATCCAACACTGCACTGCTCCAAAATTCAAAGATCCAGGCGCTCCAACAATTTCATGCACAATAGGGAATCATCAAGTAGAGCGAGCTCTCTTAGATTTGGGTGCCGGTGTAAACCTTCTTCCTTATTCGATTTACTTGCAACTTGGATTAGGAGAATTAAAGTCTACTTCCATTATTCTCCAATTGGCAGATAGGTCAACCAAACAACCTCATGGTGTCATCGAAGATGTGATTATCAAAGTAGATAAATTCTACTTCCCAGTTGACTTTATTGTGCTAGATACCGAGCCCATTCCAGAACTAAAGAGGCACATTCATGTGATCCTTGGTCGTCCTTTCCTTGCAACAGCAAATGCGAGCATAAATTGTAGAACAGACGTCATGGACGTATCTTTTGGTAATATGAAGGTGCGCTTAAATATTTTCAATACCAGTCAATGCCCTTCAGATAATAACGATTTTTTTCTAGTCGATGCCATCGATGAATGTGTTGAAGAGATGACCCCATTTGCATTGATAAAAGATCCACTGAAAGCATGCATGTCTTACTTTGATGCCGAGTCATTTGATGTTGAGAAAAGTATTGAAGAGGTGAATGCCCTGCTTGATGTAGCGAGTATGCACAACACTCCACCATGGAAGATTCCTATTGAGCCACTTCCACAATTGTCAAGTAAACCACCTATACCATCTTTGGAGTGTCCGCTAGAGCTAGAGCTGAAGCAGTTACCCTCTCATCTGAAATATGCATTTCTTAGGCCAGAAAGTACTCTTCCAGTAATTATTTTAGCAAAGCTATCAGACGTACAAGAAGAGAAATTATTAGAAGTACTAGCCAACCATCGAGAAGCTATTGGCTGGAGTGTGGCTGATCTAAAAGGGATTGATCCCTTAGTATGTATGCATCGGATTTTCTTAGAAGAAGATTCTAAACCTTCGCGAGAAGCACAAAGGAGGTTAAATCCAAATATGAAAGAGGTGGTGAAAAAGGAAGTAGTCAAGTTACTTGATGCAGGCGTTATTTACCCAATTTCAAACAGTCAATGGGTGAGCCCGATTCAAGTGGTTCCAAAGAAATCTGGGATCACTGTGGTGAAAAATTCTGAAGGTACTTTACTTCCCCAACGCATTACTACAGGTTGGCGAGTGTGCATAGATTACCGCAAATTGAATTCCAAGACATGGAAGGATCACTTTCCTCTCCCCTTTATTGATCAAATATTGGAGAAGCTGGCAGGGAAGAAATTTTATT